TATATATATATATTTTATATATGTTATATTTTCAATTGTTCTAACCAAGGTTATGTGCATGGCACAATAATGCTAACATAAAAAAAGGTTATATCTCAGTTTGAACACAAAATAAATAAAAGACTACAATATGCTGTGTTTGTTTTAATAAAAAAATGTTCCAGGGCCAAATATATCTTGTTAAACAGCTTTGAAAAAATAACAGTTTCGGTAAAAACAATTGAAGGGTGAATTTTTGGTCTTTCAATTTTTTATCTCTAAATAAAAAGATAAATTTTCAATTGACATTACAACTCATAAGTTTACCATTTTCATCCAAGTATTATGCCAAATATTAGTGTAAAAAGGTATATAACTTACCTGGGGTTTCATCCTTGGGATCCGGAGCAAGTTTATCACTACTGCTGGAGCTAGTTGACATGGTCCTCTAAGCCCTGATTTCAAGCCCCTGACTCACTTTATCCTAGCTCCCAGACTTTTATCGTTAAACACCCCAAGATGCTTTAGTCTAAATGTTATTTGGTCAAACTTTACACTTGGCAAATCAATGTATTCGTCACAATCAATCAATCTTGTTTTCTACACTTGATCACTTGCTTGCTTTCACTCTCACATGCACTCTTTTCGACAAAACAGTCTCTCGTTCTTTGTACACTAGTTCTCCAAATATTTCTTAGCTATACATGTATAACTTATGCATACATATGTACTGCCTAATATCACAGACTCTATTTTTTAAAATTTTATTTATGTTAATCCACGGCCTTCTTATCCAAACACGCGTGTATACGAGTTCGTATTTATATCTAATGCCTTGTTCTCCCTTCAAGTCCTAGAACGAAAAGAGACAAACGCCAGAACGTCTGTGCGACACGAATATAGCAACTCTTGGCTCCAGGTCCTGATGCTCTTGTGTATGTGTATAATTATGTGTGTGCATGTATTAATATATCTGTACTTTGGGAAAAGCTCCTTGTTGTTACCGTCCTAATTATCTTGCTAAAAAACAACAACAATCTATCGAACCACTGTAATACGCGATAACTCTGGCTCTCTGATGGCTCCTCGTCGTCCTCAATGCTCCGTGGCCCCTGGAGTAATTTCTATATGTATATATTATATATATGTATTATTTAGACCACTAGTAAAACGCAGGCGGCTGCTGCTTCGGTACAGCAGCAGCGGAGATTTCTGGACAAGAGGGAACTGTTGCCGAAGCTGTTGTTATACTGCGGGACTCTGCGGGCAGTACAAAGCGCGCGATAAGGGTAGGTAAAACACACACACTCACACACACGGTGGGTCACCGCGGCGACGACGACGACGACCATAGGCAAACGGCCAGAAAATTCGATCGCGCTGTCTCTTTCTATATACACTTTAGTCTCCTGTCTCCTGGCCACCACTGCTGCTGCTGCTGATACGTTGTGCGTACGCGTGTCCCTGTCGTTGACGTGATGAAAGAGATGTTTGCGATGCGATGTGTGCGAGGAAAGAAAAAGTGCCAACGATGTTCTCTGCTCTGCTCCTGTAGCCTAGGTTGGTGTCAATGGTCGTTTGGGGTCCTTTGCTTGCCTGCCTGGACTGTTACTATACTATACTTGTCGTCCGCGCGCGCGACGTCGTCCTCACCGTCTCACTTATATACTTGCACCTCGTCTTTCTTGTCCGCGCGGTCCGGCTGCGGCTGCTCTGCTTTTCTGGTGCTTTCTCTTCTCGTTGGCGGCGCTGATGCTGTTCTCATGTTGTGCTTATTTGTGCAAATATATATATATATATATATACATGGATCATTCTACTAAAAAAAGAGGTCCATTTCATGTCCCTCAGTCCCTGTTGATTGCAACGTTGCATATTTTCTGCTGAACGCAGACGATAAAAAAAATACTTATTACTTTAGTTTTGGATCCGAAAAAGGGGCTAAATTAGCGTTAGGAGCTCGGGTAAATTTACAGTTTATTTAACAACGCTTGGAAGAAAAATTTGGATTTTTTCATTTTTCTACGGCAGGGGATCTCTCAAAGTTATGTACTACTTACGCCAACAACATTTTTACGCATTTTAGAAAACCGAAAAAATGGAAAAAATTTTATCCAAGACTTGGATGCTGTTAAACTTGTTCAAGTTGCGGGACCAAAATCTGATGGAGGTCTATAGGATGTTGCAGAAATGTTTTTCGGTCCCGATAAGCCAATTAATGCTACAGACTCGCGAGTTTGTAAATTCGATGTACTTATTCCTAACATGAAATAAACCAAGAGCCCGTAACGCTATACTCTCATGTCATTTCCCGAAGCGTTTGATTACCGACTCGGAAGGTGATGAGTTAAAATACTTACATCTGTTTTGCAAAGGGCTTTGAATCTTCGTTTAATGTTCCATTATAGACTTGGATCGTAATATATGTGACTTTTGCAAATATTAATCATAAGTAAGTAGTACATGATATAAAATATAAGAACGAAGAGCGCTGTTATCTCGATCATAACAAGATTTCATGAGAGCCCGTGACGTTAGTGCTCCTATTTTTCTTAAATAGAATAAGAAAGTCGTAGACATTTTTTATCGTGCAGATCTTGCAGGGCCCAAAAAATTTTAGCTCTAATTGGTCTCGACTAAATTAGAAAAAAATATTTGAACAATTCAAAACCCATTGTAAGTGTGTATTATGTGCCAGTTTTCTTCTTTGGAATGATCCATATACTTACTACATGCGTACAATCTAAGTACCTACGTAAAGGTACATTTTCATGGCTCTCTTTCAGAGCGGCGCACAGCTACACTGTACTTATACTGACGCTACTGAAATATTATTTTAAAATAAAAAGTTATTCCCCGATGTCCGTGTAACAAATGACAGATTTAAAGTCAATCAATCCAATGATGGGATGGCGGTTCTCCGTAAATTTTTTTTTTTTTTTCAGTGTGCGTACGTTTGAAGCGAATCGGTAATTACATAGTTTTACTTTAAAAATGCCGTTTCGTGTGCAATATTTGTTATAACTATTGTAAACGTAAAAACGTACTTTATTTTTTAAATACATAAAACCATGAAGAATAAGGTAAAGAGAATCGTACCTTTTAGTTTAACGGTTGTCAAGCAACTAACAATATAAATTCAGAAAAACAACTTGTTTCCACGCAAATCAAAGCATTGTTCATTTTTTTCTTTTTTGAACAATTATCAATTGAAAACAAAACAAAACTACGATTAGAAAAGATGTATTTTTTAAAATAAATTAATGAAAAACGATCAACTTAAAAATTATCGAACCAAAAACGGCCTCAAACCCTTATATTAGGCGTTCGCGTGTGTATTTGAACCTTCATAATAAGAGATAACAAATATTAACTCACGAGATTCATAAAATCACTTTGAAAGCATTTCTTTCAAATGCTGGTTAAGAATACCAAATATTTTTAAGTTGTAAATAAATTAATTGATGCTTTAGTCTAAATGTTATTTGGTCAAACTTTACACTTGGCAAATTAATGTATTCGTCACAATCAATCAATCTTGTTTTCTACACTTGATCACTTGCTTGCTTTCACTCGGTCCTTTTCTCGGTCATTTCTGTCGTGGCGATCGCGGTCTCTGTTGTCGTTTCTGTCGTGCCGATCGCGGTCCCTGTCGCCAAAGTCACGACCAAAGGAGCGCCTTTCGAACCGATCATCTCGGTNGATTATTTATAGTATTTTTTATAAAGTAGCTAGAATTAAATATTCAACAAGTTTTAATAAAAAATGAGATGAAATAAAATATGTGGTTACATTTATCAGAACTAGGTGTAAGGGACTTAGGGACTGTATTGATATATTCTTAAACCTCGGCTCAAAATTTAATTTTTCTTGTAGTGTGACGTTTACATAAACTCAATTTTATATGACAAATTTTTTACTTTTTTTATTTCTCAGTAAGTTACAAAATTTACTCACAAATTAATCTTCCAGATAATCATCAATTAATGGTGAAATCTGAAAAAATTATTTATTAAATTTAATTTTGGAAATGACTTCATATATTAATAAAAAATAGCTATGTACATAGTACTCAATGAAACAAACAATTCCATCGTCTGTTTTAATCATGTATTGAAAACATAATAAGCTAGCCTCATTGGTTCTCAAAGAAACTTTATTGGAACAAGACATGGCTTTCATGGCTGGTCTAATGTGAGAGAGCAAGTACTTAGATTTTGCCTCCTTTTTACACTGAAATGTCTCTATTAACTCTGTATTGTGTGGCAGCTCAACGTGACATTCACCAGCGACTCCAACTGTACTTAACATAAAATAAGGAGCCTTTGGAGACAAAAGAAGCTGGAAAAAAAATTTCTGTAATGGAAAAAAAAACAAAAAAAACTATAAGATTAACAAAATACCTCTAAGTGAGTGCTGCTAGGATCAAGCTCTTGTAAAACATCTTTTAACAATTCACTATGTAAAAGTACTTTATTTACAACACTTTCAGGATCTAAATTAAAATCCAGAATTTCATCCGGATCTTGGGTTTTTAAGGAGCAATCAACAATTATACCATCTTCTTCAATAAGAATTGTCACTGGATGTCCTTCTCCCTGGTGTAAAAAAAAAACTACAACTGTTATAATGTATATTTCATCAAAAGGCATCTCATGTCGAGTAGTACTAAACCTTGTAGTGCATTTCTAAAGCCACGGCACTACCTTGTGCATTTATGCTAGGCCAAAACATAGATAGACATTCAACAAAAACATTTAAATTAATTCGAAAAATAATATCTTCTGTGAGAGTGAACTCTTCGAAAAGCTTTATTGGAATGTAAGCACTAGCCTGCATACACTTTGCTTCTTCGACCGTTATTTTTAAACCATTCTCTGATGCATAGCAAGTGGCACTCTGAAAGAAAATTATGACTTGATCCTTGTGTATTTTTTTTATAATTATCTAATTAGAATGCTTGCATAAACAATTGTTACCTCTTTAAAATTTATTGATCTTAAGAGTTGAATAACAGTTTTGAGATTGCCTAATTTGGCAACTAATTTGTTATCAGCAGTCATAATTTTTATCTGTAATTCTTCCTAGTAGGATCTCACAAAATTTAGATTCTTGGATAATTTGACAGTTGAGATTGACCGAATTCACTGATGCCAACCAAACTGCCAATACATGCTTGCAAGTAAAGGTATTTTGTTCTATAAGAACTTGATTTCTATGAAAACGTTTTTTTTTATTTTTAAAACAAACCAATGATAAATGAAACTGTTGAATTCATTTACATTTACTTACACAAAAGCTAAGCAGGTACAAAAGTTTATGTGCGGGAAAAGAGTATAAACTTCAAAATTTTGTCCTTTAACTTCATAGAAATAATTGATTGATTTGTCTCTACTAGTACCCGATGACTCTACTGTAAAAAGTGTAACTTTTTTTGCTTCATACAATTCTAAAGCTCTTTCAAACGTTGATCCAAACGCACATCGTAACTTGAGCAGTGTCTGAGCTGTGACTAGCAAAAATATTTGTTATGTGTACGTAAGAAACAAATAATATACTTATAAACACCTCAATCATACCAAAAAAAAATTGATAATTACATTTATTCTCTACGATATAATCATCAGCAGCTTCACTTAAAATATGCTTTGCAGCTTTTTTAAAACAAAAACTTGAAGAAGCAGTTGGACAACTTAGCTCTTCTGTCATTTTCTTTCCAAGAATTTTTTATCCATTGTTACGAAGAATATTTTGATCTATTAGCATACCTACCTTGAAAAACAATATCAAACAGTGTCCTCCAGAAATAACCCAAATTCGCAAAAAGTTATGGTTCGTGGAAAATACGAAAAAGTAAACAATATTCGACCATCGTATACTTACTGAATCAGTAACAGTAGATTCATTCGCTAATGGCGGACAGAGCGGTCGGATCAGAGATGAGTAGACTACTACTATAGTACTTAGTAGACTACTCATAGTACTCATCTCTGCAGGTCGGACCGCTCGGACCCGAATTCGTGTTCACTTATAGACCAAGAGCTGAGGCCGGAGGGTGGTCAAAATTTTAACCAGCCGCCACTCTCACCAGAATTGAGGAATCTTAAGTATGATTCGTTGAGATCCGAAATATTTTTGTCATATTTCATTCTGGTAAAGAGTTTTATTGGTATTTAAAAAGTCACATACCCTAGTCTATTTTATAAACCAGCCGCAACTTAAATCAATGGATGAAAAATAAACAATTGTCATCCTAAGTGCGCTTTTCCGGCAAGATTAGAATGCATTGTGTACCCGAAAATCGACCCTCAATTCTGATGAGAGTGGAGGCTGGTTATAAGATTTTGACCACCCTCGGGCCTCAGCCTGAGGCCCTCAGCTCTTGGGCCTCTTGGTCCGATCTGAGGCCCGAGATAGTCAAAAATCTATACTAGCCGTCACACTTACCAAATTTGAAAAACTTTATGATTTGTGGAGATCCGAAATATTTTTGTCGTATTTTATTCTGGTGAAGAGTTTTGAGGTAATTCTAGATTTGCCATGTAGTTTATTTTATAAATCAGCCGCAATTTAATAAACGGATAAAAAATAATCGGTTGTATTACCATTTGCGACAAGTATTAAATATTTCTTATATTTAAAAATAAACCCAGGATCTATTTGTTTAAAGATCAATTTTCGAGTAGAAGATAGATTTTTATCTCGCCGCAAATGGTATTTGATCTGAGAAATTTTTATTTTCTATTATTTGTTTTATATTGTGGCTGGTTTATAAAATTAAAGACATGGCACAACTTTGATTACCGCATAACTCTTTATCAAAATGAAATATGACGAACATACATTTCGGATCTTCACGAATCATAAGGTTTCTCTGATGAGAGTGGCGGCTGGTTTAGATTTTCTACTACCCTTGGGCCTCATGGCATCACTAGCGCTCTCTTTGCTCTGCTCGTCTCGGACCTCGAACTCCCAACTCCCACCAGTGCACTGTGCTGATTCAGACTGTCAATACGATAAAAATTAACGAGCGCGAGGGAGAGTTGTCAAAAGTGGGTTGCTGTATTATTATTGTTTTTTACACTTGACTCTTGGGTTAATATCAATAAAAGAAAGGTACCTCGCTGGCGAGTCCTGTTTTGCTATCATCGTCATACTTTCAGCGTCAAGAGCACCATTTCTTGTTCGTTATGACCTGGTTTTCTACGGAAGAAAGCAAACATTCTTTGCTATACATATCAGCATCAGCAGTATCCAATTAATCCAGTATATCTATAAGTACTTGGATTGCCAGTGTTTTTTCAGATCACTATAACTGTAGCTGTGTGTAGAAGTACATGTACTTACACTTATTGCACAAACTAGCCACTACTTACTTTGCTCTGTTTTTGGCACAAGCAATACAAGCATTCGTTCACCTGATGCACGGGTGCATGACACAATTAATCAAGTTTCCAGATAAGTCCATAAGTACATCGGAAGCGAAGCCTCTGCTCGCTGACCTCACTACTGGTGATTAGCGATCGGCGATGGTTGACGCCGTCGCCTCGTATAGGTATGACCTTGCTGGAGGCGTCGTAAGTTTATTGTCATCACCAGAATATTATTACATCGGTACTCCCCAAGAAAAGTTATACTCAATCGTCTCACCATCTCACTAAACAGAATTAGTATAGTGTACAAAGCCGTCCAGTCCGAGTTTAAGAATTTCAATGAGAAAGTGCCAGATTGTGTACACCTATATTGTTAGGTATGTAATAAACTAGCTGCAGCTGCATACATACATACGAACGGCAAAGAAAGAAAGGAAGAAAAAAATCGAGTGGCCCCCCCAAAGCGGAAGAAGCGAAGGCGGACGTGCGGGTGAAAGGACACCGATTACACATTGGTGCACACCGCTAGCTTTTCTGTATAATAATACTACAGGTATGCTTATAGTTACACACTTTGTTGCGCTTTGTGTCAAAATATACAAAAAAAAAAAAAAAAAACCTTTATCGGGCCATTCTACCAAGCGCAAACAATTATTTGTCTTTTTAGTCTAAATTCACTAATACAATTATTAAGTACGTTGCAAGTGTTCACTCTTGTCTAGCCTTTTTTTTCTTCAAGCTGTTATTTTTACTCAATCCATTGTGGCCTCTCAATAGACAAATTGCTGAAATGCAACAGATAATAATTCACGCTTTTACGATTCATTTATACATTAATGATAACATTTACATCTAAATCTCTGTATAAACAGATATGATGTTCATATGCACACCCACTTATTCTATTAAGTATTTTTCCTCACTAAGTTATTCAGTCATTCAAATTTTAACCAAAAAGTTTTATGTACTGTCGAAGTCCGTGAAAACATCAAGACATTATTAACATCAATTAAATTATTGATTTATAATTTCTATGCCTAAAAGTTTGAGACAATTAAGAGAAATGAATATTGATTCGATCTTTTCTTCTTCTTTTTTTTTGTTTGTTATTTTTTCAGCTTACGTGAGAGACAGAACGAGAATCGAGCACAACGCGATAACAAGATCTACACACATCAGCAGTGGCTCTTTAAGTATTTCTCGTTTCCCTGATGCGCTTTCAGCAAGTGTAGAACCGCAGTAGTAACTCAAAGAAGAAATGATGCTGATGTCAGCGAAGATGCGCAGACCCACGCCCGCCACCTGCTCAATGATAATGATAATAATAATAACATAATTCCTTGGACTGTGCGATCGGCGGTTCTTTTAAAAAAACCGACGTTATCATTATCACGGGTGTGTGCTTACGCGAGCATCGATTTAGTACGCCGTACACTAGGTAGACTCCTGTGCAGTGTCTTTGAGAGCGCGCGCGCGCTCGTTTTTATATATGTATACTTGTATACCAACTCTCGTCATCCGTCCACGTGCCGCAGGTCTATATTTAGCTGAGCGCCGCTGGGCGACCTTTAACTCTCGCGGCGCCACAGCAGCAGGCAATATCTCAACCTGAGCAATACAACGTATATATATATATACAATAGTTACCCTCGGGTGCAAGAGGTGAGGGCGCACGAAATCGGTGCGAGCAGCACTGACCATGAGCTCCGTCTGGAAGAGGCTCCAGCGGGTCAACAAGCGAGCTGCCAAGTTTCAGTTTACGGTCTCCTATCACGAGGTCCAACTTGAGACCACGACCAAATGGTGAGTCTACCATCATCATCACTTTATATATACTTGTTCCACGTCATTGGCTTATATTTTGCTTTGTATCGTGCGGGTGATTCGTTCAACCCCTGGTGCACCACACACGTCCACGCGTTGCTAAACACAGCTTCCCAAAGCTTTATTTAGGGGCAATCGTTGCAGGGCACTTTAAATTTTAAACCTTAACGAATCTTCTCTCGCGAACCGCAAAACACTCGGGGTTATCGGCTTTTAAAATTCATGCTACTCGATTCAACTACTTACTTACTGCCCTGAACTTCTTCGGATTATTGTTGCATTGTAGAGTCCGTACGGAAATACCCTTTCGAAGACGACATTACCCATTTCAATAACGCAAAAATTTTTACCTCTCCAATGGTTTTTCTTTCACTCGCACACCACACAGACAGGCTATATGCAGGGTAATATATTGTAGGCTATACTTATAGACTGCACTGTGTGCGCATTTAAGCGAAGGTTTGCCTTGAAATGTTGAAATCAGGTTTGCAAATCGCAAACCGGGAATTGACCGATTCGCGTCTGTATCTTCTTTTTTCCCCTCACTTTTGCATGCAGGATGATGCCGACGCTCGGTCACGAACAACGATGAAATCACTTGATATTTCACTTCTGTCACGCAAAATTTGGATGGGATTCCATGTAACGCTTGATTGATACTTACGATTTTCTTTCAATTTGCGTACTCGATCTTTCTGGTGGTCGGCGACTTTCTTTGATTTTTAACTGAAACTGCCGATAGTTGGTATTGCATCTTTGCTACTGTACTTACACATTGGCACGAAATTTTCATCTCTGAATTCAATGAATGTCCATTGAAAAGATGCCCACAAGAATTGCGTAATTACTGATCGAGAACACGCGTCGTAGATGCCTAGTAAGTAGGAGAAAAACCATCGGTCCACTGCACAAATAGTTGAACTTTTAGGTACCAAACTGTCAAAGTTATCTGGCAGTTGAAAAAGCGACATAAAGAAGAAGAAGGGAACTAACGGAGTCGAACGACTCGAACGAGACGTGAATATGTCGCGACGATTGCTGGCATTAATTTAATTTCTTTTCAGTGTAATAAATGCATGACCCAGGTATTATTTAGGTATCACACGCGTCAATAGCCCAATAACCCTTTCCGAGACGTTGTTTGACAAAAAAAAAAAAAAAAAAAAAAAAAAAAAAAAAAAAAAAAAAAAAAAAAAAAA